AGATTCACTATTATATTCAATATAAGAACCCAAATTATAAAATAAACTTTACATGATCAAATAGATTTTAGAAATACACCCAAAGTTCATTTACAAAATAACAAAGAGACTTCGAACTTGTTATAAATTACAAAATTACCATCGATTTCTTACAACAAGTTCAACTCTAAAATCTCATTAAAAAAAACCCCAAAATACTTAATAGAGTATCAACGTAATTTAATAATTAATTCAATACGGCCATGAATCATTTTTTGATTTTTTTTTTTTTTTTGGGGTTTGTACAGTCAAGTTCTTTGCAAGATATCAGGAAGCTAAAGGATAAGTTTCCTGAAAGACAAAGGACCAAATAGGAACAACAGAAATGTGATATGTTACATTTGTTGGTATATAATATTTTAATGTGGACATCTAGTTAAATTATTAAAATTGGAATTACTGTAAAAGAGAACACAATGGTTTGATGAAGGGCTGCAGTTATTCATATTATTTAATAGTGACCTAACTGAGGTTTGAGGTTGCTCTCAAAGCAACAAAAATTAAGGTTTGAGGGGAGGGAGAGAGATTCACAAATCTTAGGATAAAAACTGAAGATAATTAAGAAATTTGGGATCATTATTTATTACCCTTAAAAGAAACATATAAACTGGATTTAAGAAACGGAACAAAGAAATTATCCAAAAATATGGTAATTAACGGACAACCACCAGATAATAAACAAGGCTAGTGTGATGCTAAACCAAAGAGGAAATGAAAACATCTTTTTGGATTTGGACTTGGAAATGAGTTCAAGAGCAGCAGACTGGGTTGGAAGAACTGGAATTGCACCCTTCTGAGTAGTACAGATTGCTCCACAAGCATTTGCAAAAGACAGAGCCTCCTTCAATTTTGTTTCATCCTAGGTAGTTAATTAAAGTTAAGGTTAGGCCAATTACAACCCAGAAATACAAGTTTAAAAAAACATGTCTAATTAATTTGGGACTGAACTTACCTCAAATATGGACATATCTTTGGCCATGGAAACCAAAAATGAGCCAACAAAAGCATCACCAGCACCAGTTGTGTCGACAGTTTTAACAGAGAAGCCAGGCACCTTTCCTTTAAATTTCTGTATCACATTTACATGCATCTATTATCAGGAAGCAAATTAAAGAAACAAATCAAAACAAGTACAACCATGTACCCGCAGTATTAAGTACTCATGAGTCATCATTGTGACATATTAGAGTCATCAAATCTGTTAACCGAATAGTTTGTTAATGAAGATATACGTGCCAGCTTCTTACAGTTACTAACTAGTACTCATTTTAAACGAAGCGGGCACACTGATTAAGTATATGTAAAAAAGGAGGAGGGGGGGAAGAGGAAGTGTATATACATGTATAGAGATGTTCAAGTGCAATGTGATCGGTACTAAGATTTTGAGAGACCTATGCGAAACTTAAATTGGAGCTCTCACATAATCTAATATGAAAATACTAAGAAGAAAGTATGATTTTTTTTTTTTTTTTTTTTGGTTTTGTTTTGAGTGGAAGAAATTACCTTTTTTTTTTTGGTTGGGTGTGATATATAATGCTGTTAGTTTAGTTGGATCGTTCCCTTTTGTTTTTTGTTTTTTGTTTTTTTTCATGTGCTTCTGTTTTTTTTGTTTTTTTTATAACTAATTTAAAATTTGTTGTTATAATGAAAAAAAATAAAAATACGAATAGAATAATATCAATGAGACCCTTGTACCAAGGGATATGAGCTAAAAACAAGCTCCACCAATACACTTTGTTTCATTATATGCTGCATGATAGAGTATATATTAGGGGTGACATTTTAGACCGAAAAACCGCATAAACCAACTGAGATATTACCGCATTTGAACCGAACAAGCGGGAAAACATACTGCAATTTGCGGTGTGAGGAACCACACCGCAATTGCGGTTGCAGTGGCGGTTTGGAAAATTCAAAGTTTGCAATTACCACAAACTGCAAATATTTTTTAATTAATAATAAAAATATGTTTTTAATTTCTTGATAGCCGTTAGATGATCATACTTAATCTAATTGATAAATACATAATTATTACATTATTTACCCTTTAAAATTTGTTTTCTAATAATTAATTTGGCTAAGTTGGTGTGTTTTATGTTCTATTTATTTTATTCCAATTTGAGAATGTGTTGGTCTATTATATTTCCAATATTCTCACTGCTTGGGCTTAGAACCATTGGAACCTTTAGAGACCTTTAAATAGGCTATCCATTCAATAGGGGAAGAGAGTTTCTGTAGAGGAGAAAGTTTCAGTAGATGGAGACAGATTCGGTGGAGGAGTGACTTTTTTGTTGAGGGAAAATTTCTGTGATAGTAATACCAATAAAAAAGGGTTCCCGCCAAAACGAAAATTTGGTGGACAATGTATAAATTAAAAAAGGTCTCATACAATCTAAGTTTAATCATAACTAGTTTGGTTGGGTTCACTAACTAGATGTCATTTACATTGAGTTTCTTTCAACCACTAACAGTGGTGTAAGGAGAGTGTGAGGTTGACATGCTTGAAAAGCAAAACTTGATACCTCTTTTTTTAAAGGGGGTTTCACTAAAACACTCAAAATGAGGGCTGAAATTATAAAAAGACCCAACACCCAAAACACTTTATAAACACACCCAAAACCCATCATTACATACACTCAAAACCCATTTATAAACACACCCAAAAAATATACAATTGTTGATTTTGGGGTTAAGTTTGGGTGTGTTTCTATGTTTAAATAGTGTTAGGGTTTTTTTATAAATACATGTCTAGGATTGGGTTTATTTATAAATTTGTATTTTTTAAAATTGAAATAAAGTACATATGTTGACTACACGCAAGCTTTGGTATATTGGTCTATAAAGCTATGTTCCATTTCTCAAACGAAATTGCATATGCAATCCTCATCCTCTAAAACAAATAGGATGTACTTCTAGTTTTCTTCTAGGATAATTATCTACTTCTGGTGATTTTATAAATTCTTCTAAATTCCTAATTTCCTTTTGGTATTCTGATTTCCCTTTCTTTAATTCCTGCAACCTTTTTTTTTATTCTAATAGATGTCCACCAAGGGCCAAACATACAAAGAGTTTACTGTTCTTAACTGATAATTCTGGTAATTAACAAAATTTTAACAGGTTATAAAACGTTGGTTTTTATCAGTTGTGTTGACTGACTTTTGTCCCCAAGGTACTTTACTGGTATAACTATATTATTAAGGTGCTAAACTAATGCTCTGATTCCATTATTTTTGAAGCGGGGTCTCGGTCAAGGTTTTCTAAAGGCCAAAATAACAATCAGACACCATGCCTAGAACATGAAACTAGAACATGGAACTGCAAAGACGCCAACTTAAAGGGCTATGGAGCAAAACTTAGAGGTTCGCCAGTTTAGCAAGATAATAACATAATTATGAAAAGTGTTTCCCTGTTTTGGACAAGAAGTCTACTAAGAAAAACAAAAATAAAAGAGAACAAGACTTACTTAATTGCTTATGTTGCTGGAACTATTGTTATCACCGGATATTAACAATGGTCGGAGATATTAACAGTGGTTGATGGTATTAACAGTTGTCGGAGTAAGAGAGTAATAAGAAAATAAGAGAACATATATGAACAAAAAGAGTTTTATTGATTGAGAACTGAAGGAGAAGTACATATATTTTTTCTTCTCTAGTGTTGTTCGTACTTCTTTCTTCGGAATTACAAACTATATACAAAATTTACACCGACTTCTACCATGGCTAAGGATGAGAAGAAGAGTTCTTCTCTACATGATACTCTATTTGATACACTCTCTATCTCTCTCTGAAGTTTCATAGGCACCTCATATGCATACACTATACAATCCAACGAATTTACATGACGATTTCAGATTCATATGCACAAGCAAACAAAGTTTTAAAATTATGTACTGCTACACTGTTGCTGCTACTGCTGGCACTGTTACTGCTGCTGCTGAAAAAAGACAAGGACTTCACATGTTGCTTTCGTCTTTTGTGGAGGAGAGAGACTTATGGCTTGCATGTCTTTGTTTTTTAAGATAAGGGGCTTTCGTGCCATTTTGAAAATATTTTGGGTATTTTTGAAAGTTGCTTGTTTCCTTTGGGGTTTTCACTAAATTTCGCTATGTAAAATCCTTTTGTTTGAGGTCCTGGGCTTGGCCCCGCGCTAGAACTGCTTTGTTCGAGGTCTCGACCCAACTCCTTCGTCTTCTGGGTAAGGGCAAACCTACCCAACCCTGATCTCGTATTTGAAGCTCAAATTATTGGTACGTTGTTCAAATTGCAAATTGCCCATGTTTGAATTTAGCTTATTTTGTTCATATTTTGATATGTATTTTTAAAGGTGCTTGATTTTCCATTCGGACGTTTTGGGTCTTTTTTGGTGTGGGCATTATATAATCCACCAAAGGGATGGTCCAGTTGAGAGCTGCTTTGGATGAGATATCTGCTCTTGACCCACCTCCTCCTTCGTCTTCTGTAAGTAAGCGCGAACCAACCCTGAGTTCGTAGCATCTTTGAAGCTCAAATTGTTGGTACGTTGTTCAAATTGCAAGATGCCCATGTGTGAATTTAGCTTATTTTGTTCATATTTTGATATCTGTTTTAAAAGGTGCTTGATTTTGCTTTTGGGCGTTCTGTGTCCTTTGTTGATTACTTTATTGTATGCGTTATCCTTGTGTAGCTGTGCTGGTTTAAATTATTTCAATTTGGTTGAAATACGTTTGCTTATGATAATTGTTTTAAGCAGTATTATTTAGCTTGGTTCATTTGCTTTTTCCGATTATGGATTTGGTTCAATGTTACTTTTTTGATTGATTGTTCATTTAAAGTGCTTATTTTTTTTTATTTTTTTTTGAACGGAAACTGAGGATAAGAAATCCTCGGTCACAAACACAACACTACCAGCACAGCAAACAAAACTGAGGATATGCATGCGATTCCAGCTCACTCCACTCATGACCAAATACTTGCGAAAGCTTTTCAAAATTTAATTTCCCATTTTAAAAAAAAACATTGATACGCTTTTACTCAACAGAAAAAGAATCACGAAGAGATGGTGCATTGGCATGGTACTTGGGTAGAATCACAAAAAATTGATGATGGACGACTAACGCTGCTGGTGCTCAGGGTTGGGCTTTGGGAAATTTTAAAGACTGGGAAAATTGATTGGGTTCCCAAGTGTTGAAGACCGAAATCATTGCAGGTTATATTATTGAGAGTTGTTTAGTTGGCCGGGGAGGCTTGGAAACTGGAAATTTCAACCTTTTATTTACCATCTGACATTGGTTGAAAGAACAAAAAGGGGGAGAGAGCTTAAGGCTTTAAAAATTAGGAAACCCAAGAGGCAGTCAACTCTTGTGTAAAGGCACAATAGGGGTGCTTAGTAGAGAAGCACCTGAAGTATTTTCAGTGCAAGGCCAAAATTCGTGCCCAAGCAAGGAAATCGTCTGGAAGGTTTCTGCAATTTCATGAAACTTCCCTGAGATTAAGATGGTTTGTAGTGTTAGCATGCTCTGAGATATCCTGAGCGAAATTTCAGCTGAAAATCTCTCGATAAGTTGACTGTGTGTCTCCCCTTGCAAACAAGTGAATTCTTTGATGAAACACTCATTAATTTCGCTTTTTACATTCATCTTATTTCTTCTTTTTCTTTTATCTTTTTTCACTTTTATTGTGATTTTTATGATTTACTCCTGCATGCTGCTTGTTATGAGCTATTTTGTCTCTTCTTTCTGTTAGATGGATCCACTGTATCTCCAGTTGGTAAATCAACTTGGGACAAAGCTAAGCCGGACCGGGATGAACACTCTGATTCTGTAGATATACAAAAAGAAACTGATTTGGTCTACTATTCTGGAGGTGTGCGCGCAAATGGTGTTGAAACCAGTGGTTTAAATGATGAATTCTTTGCTAGTGAAGGAAGTAGACAATGTGCCTCAGCTGAAGGAAATATATTTTTTTGACTCGGCTGTTAGTGAGCAACCTGAGGTGGAGAGCTCTGGTTCAGGTGTGAAACTTGAAAATGGATGGCCGCCTACCTCGTGCTGTGCCACTTGGTCTTGATGAGTTCAAGAGCGAAACATTTAATTCCAAAACTAAATCGGGAAATGGTGAGGCTGGAGGCATAAAACACAGAGTGGAGCCCTGGTGGTGCTGAATACAATTATGCTTCAGCTGCAAAGGGAGCCAAGGTCTTGGCTTTTAACAAGGAAGCTAAAGGTGCCTCAAATATCTTTGGCAGGGAGATAAGGACAAGTACCTTCGCAATCTATGTTCTGCAGAAGGAAAATTTGTCGATGTCGTTCGACTAGGTTCCTACTATTCTGTATTCTTCCTTTCCTGCCTGTTCGACAAGTTCAGGTATTCATAATTTATTTCTATGTCCGGTTTACTGATGAGTTATGTATGTTCAGACTTTTGATTGCTTTTCTGCCATATATCACACTCAATCATCTAGGTTTACAGGACCCAGAGAAAGAATGACGGAAAAAAGTTTGCGATTAAACGTAAGTGAAATACATCTTTCATGTACATTCTCTTTTCGACTGTTTCAGTTTCTTAAACCAGATGTTTTATATGGTGTTAATTAATGAGTAACTTAGCTTATGAGCATTCAAGCTTACAAATATAATCGAAATAGCTTACATGACTGTTCAAAAGTGGTGACAGTGAGTGCTTTATTTTGGAGCATGTTGAGCAAGATAGACCTGAGGTACGTATCAAATGCTTCAGTTCAGCTTTTATCTATTAATAAAACATTTGGAGAACAACAACCTGACAATACTTAAGCCTCTTTCAGCTGATCAGCTAACTATTGCTGAATAAAGGTTCCATTCTATAGAATTTTGTATCAGATTTTCCTTATACCTCTGTATTGATAAGTTGTGATCGAATTAAAACCTCATTTAGCTCCAGTGTTTAGCAGAACTACCATCTCTTTCTTCGCTCTTATTCAAGTTTCATCTTAACTGCTAGGTATTGAAGAAAAAAATAGATCTATACGAGCTCCGGTGGTATGGCTAGTGCATGTTTAGAGCCCTTGCATGCTTACATAAGCAGATAAGATCACTACAGTTGTTGTGCATCTATTGAAAGTTCAAGTAATTTTTTAGCAGAATACTCAATTTCCCAATTGTTTCGATGTGCTTCCTTCCCCCACATAAAGATGCAAGGAAGCGGGGTGGGAATATATTTAAAAGTCAAGGTGCTGATGGCTCAGGTATAACCTCCACGAAGGATGTGACAAGTGTCAGGACTCCATCTACAGAAAGAGCAAGGGAACCTCTACCATGCCTAGGAAAAAAAGAGTTGATCAGTCTGAGATTCTTAGTCCAAACCAAGGTACAATAAAAACTTCTTCCCAGAGGAAAAGGATTGCTGATACTCCAGGAAAAATTGAAAACAAAATCATCCATACAAGTCCAATGTCTCGGCATTTTACTGATATAGCTGTATGATATCACAATCATCGCAGGAATATAAAAGACATCGCGACGTTAAAGGGCAGTGAAGATTCATGGGAAGTGGCCAAGCTACATGATCGTGAATCCTCCTTTCCAGTGGTATTTTTTTTAATGGAGTTTTTTCTTTTTCTTTTCTTCTTCTTTTGACATTGAATACTTTCTATCTTCAAATTAATTGCAGTTCTTTGCTGATCTCATATTCATACTCAGACAGAAAGATGCATTGCTATTTTTGTATCATCAGAAAAACGAGGGTGCTTTGAGTTTTATTCATGTTATCTTAACTTTTTAACTTCCTTCACACAAGAGTTGCCATTTATGTTTTTGCTGCATTTTGTTGATTGTTCAGGAGTTATTGGATATCAAACCCTTGCCATCAATGGAACTGCAAAGTTGGAGCAAGGCTCGCACAAAAAGAGCCCAGTTTTTCAAGCCTATTCCAAGATCACTCTTTGATCTTGTGGACAAGTGCCTGACAGTAAACCCAAGGTTGAGGATCAACGCACAGGAAGCTGTGAGGCACAAATTCTTAGCCTCGTGCCTTGAGAGCTTGAGGAGGCAGAAGATGTTCAGGCGTGAGGTTATGAGTACCCAGAATGATCTTCTTGTACATGAAGTGAAGTGTAATGTAGTTTTGATCAACATATTTGAACAATGAATTTCATCACCTAGTTCTTTGGCTTAAAAATTGTATCCGCTATTCTTGCCCTCAATATTTTTTTATTTTTTTATTATTATGGCTTTTTGAAAAGCATCAATATGTAAATTTTTGAACATTCATTGTGTTGTTTCTTTTTTGATCTGATGGAGATAATACACAAGCAATTACTATCCAACGGGGGGAAGTAATAATCAGTACAAAGAAACAAACCAAAACTGTTTTCAAGGAAAATTTACACAGATTGTGGATCAGACCACCTTCTTTTTACCTCCGACTTTGATCGGACCTCCTTGAGTTTCCCATCTACTCCATAATCCCTCTCCATAGCAAGGTTGATCCCTTCATCTGAGTACCATCCGACTCCAATGCAAAGGATGCCATCCTGGTTTACATCAACATAGGCCGTGACACCACCCGGAAGCCAAAGCATAGTCACATCTTGCATGTCTAGCATCTCTTCTTCTCCAAAGTAAGCTGGATTCCCCGGCAAGCTCCTCTTCTTTAGAGTTTCTGTGCAAAGATAAGACATACGGAGTACTATCGTTTTGCTCCATTACCATCTGGTCTATCTCCTCACCAAATACTGGAGTGCCACTGACCTCAAACACCTTCCATGACCCAGTCAGCTCTGATGGTCGGGTTCGTTTGCGCTGAGAAAATGGTTTCAAATCGAACTCCAGATCACTGTTTATGGTACAATAGGAATGAAATGAGTTCTCCAATGTCAATACAGATAACAAAATCACTGCTATAGTTTATAAGCAACGCAAACCCTAGAAAACCCTATGCTCTACAGAACTCTGGGGCATGAGCCCCAATGACACATAAGGTTTCATAAGAACAAATTTTCCTCATGTGCAACCAAATGAGTTTTACAGATTATAAGTGCAAAACTATTTCTTTTATATCTGAAGTCTTTAGGACACTGAGTGCAAGAGGATACTATAGTTTTTCCAGAGATGTACTGAAAGAAAAAAATATATATGTATATTTCAAGTTTTATATCTCTCTTTCTTACTCCCTGTGGTATGATGCTATTACCATTGCATTAAGGTTTCCAGGACATCTATGTCCTACTGGCAAAATGGAATTTCCATTAATGCATAAGTCACAAAAGAAATAAGATTTCAATTAGATTTGAAGGTAACAATATGCAAAATCTTTATGGCTGTTAGAGTGGTCCAAACAGAAACTTTTGAAATTCTGATGCACCAGTCCTACTGAAATTACAAGAAAATAACATAAAACACATTTACGTTCTGACGAAATAGTACCAATGCATTACAAGTTACAACTTAAAACATTATGTAGCAAACTCCAATGTGAAATAAACTTTAGCATAGGATACCTTGGGTCAGGAAGATTGGCAGGACTAACCCACTGTTCTTCATAAACAGCAACTCTCATTATCTGTATGCTTGAACCACCATTGCTGAATTCTATAGTATGAACGATACGTAGCCTCTTGTGGCAACCTTTAACCAAGCACTGGACAAGGAAAAATTAAGAAAATGAATAACTAGTTTTTAAGTTTCTCGTTGATTGAGGTGGGTGGGGGAAGTGGTAGGTCTTAGGTTACGATCTTATCATTTGTAAAAATAAAATAAAAAACAATCATCACAACATTTATAAACCCACATCAATACAATAATAATAAAAAAAAATTTAAATATTAATCAACATATTTTAGAATTCAAGACCTTTGTTCTGCAATTATCACATCTACTGTTCATTGGCATTTATGACTACATTTGTACATGCACTTTTATTACAGATCATGAAAGGAATTTAACAACCTCTATCTACATGCGACTTGGAAAGTGTCCAGTATATGCCATACAAAACTTACTTGTTCAAATTTGAAAGTTGGTGAAAGGTAATACTTAGAGTCATCATCTTCACCAACCGGGATATCAACGGGACCCCTAGAATAAGATCCATCATGCACATTATCAATCAGAAGATTAAATAGTTCCCATTAGTATTCAAGAAAAGATGGAGGATACTTTTGTCTATTGAAAACCATAAATGAAAAATTACAGGAAGCATTGATGGGAATTGAACCCATTGTAAAATTTGAAAGAGAGAGACCTATAATTTCTTTTCATGAACTGATATTCATGCTGTGGATGTTTCTAAGATAATATGGAAAGAACTGTTGTAAACTCTGGAGAAGCTATCTTTATAATGAACAAGATTCACATTTAACAGATTCAAGGAAAAATACTACACAAGTGCCTAGTCATACTGTATTTGTTCCAAAAGTTGAATATGCATTTTATCATATAGGCTAAATACTGATGATTTATGAAATCTCTAAATTGGCCAATTCAATCTAGGGCCTAGGAGAAAATTGTTTAACATCTCTAAATACTGATGATTTATGAAATCTCTAAATTGGCCAATTCAACCTGTGGAAATGTTTTTGCAAATACTTACTAATAAAACAGCAAGTAGTAGTTACTTCCCAAAATCTAAATAATATTTCAACTTTTAGCACTCTCTCATTACCAAGAAATGATAATATTGAAATGCATGCAGCAAGAAAGTCCAAAATTTTGAAGTCTGCAAGCTAATAAATAATGTCAACACTTGTTCTTGGTACTGTAGTACTAACTTGGCATGCATTCTGAATAATATTGAAGAGGGGCAGGGAGCATGCGTACCTCAAAGAAAACAAGACCAGGTTCCTTATCCATGACATCTTCTTCCATCACGTCACTTCTTCCAAAATCAAAAGACTCAAATTCAGGCAAAACATGTTTTTTTCTGCTTCCATCAATATCGTTTTTGTGTGAAGCGGCGTCTCCGCCTTCATGCTCTTCTTTCATTCTATTGCTTCCTCTAATATGTTGTGGTATTTCACCGTAAGGATTTAAAGTCACCCAATTAATCTTCCTTTTGATTTGAGATGTTCGCCCTCCAGAATAGGATGGCACGGCCTCAATGTGGGAAAGAGTATAGCAATCATATAGATGTTCATCCCTGCTTCCGATTTCAATTGGCTCCATTTCAGCATTGATGGGTGAAAATACTGCTCCAACGCCCTTCCATATCCAACTGACACTACTAGCAAATGTTGTCCATGCTGGTCTTATCACAGGTTCCTGACAGGAAAAACCAATGTTGAGTTAGGTTAACTCTAAGACACCAAAAGTGCAGCATAAAATTTATGTATACAAACCGCAAACATGAATGCATACTTGTAACAGATTTTCTTCTTCCTGTCCTCTTCTTTTTCTGTTTGTTTTATTTCCGCCCGTTGGGCAGGGGGTGGGGTAGCTTTCTCTGAATGCCCCATAACTTTGCAAAGAAATCAAATTTTCAATTTTTTTTTTAACGGAAACAGTTCACTAATGTTCTGATTGATGGCAATAAGTTGTGCAAAGTTTCCCAGAAGTCCAGGAAAAGCTTCAAAGATAATACTTAGAGAAGAACTGAACAAACATGAGATCAAAGAACACTCTCTCAACAGAGGAGTCCAATCTATTATCGGCAACTTTTAGTGAACATATAAATTCATGAACCAAATGCTCCAGAAACATAGAAGCACCTGAGCATTAAAATATTTTCTACCAAGTGGCTAATTCCCATCTCTCAATACCCATTACCAAGTAGACAATTTCCAACTCTCAATACTCATTTCCTCTCCTTTTTTTCCCCCAACGTTCTATCAGCAACCGAACAAAAACAATGCAAAGCCATTACCCCAACATAGGCCAAACAGAATAAAAAATTTCAAAGTACCTGAGTTTGAAGAACGGTCTCGACCTCCATTAACATAGCACCAGAGACCAACACACCTTTCCCGCCACCGCCTTCACTTCTCTTCCTCCTCACAATCCTCCTTTTGCCTCTCCTCTTCGGGCTTCTCCCTCTCTCTTTCTCCATCGCAGCGAGCTCGTTGTCCACGCTCCACACATTTTCCGCTTTGCCCTTGACCTTGGCTCTACCACCGTTGTTGTTGGGTGCTGGTTTCTTCTGGCACTGGGCAGCGAGCTTCCGAGGGTATTTTGGGAAAGTGGAGGAGGGAAAGGAGAGAGAGGTGAAGAGGTTTTGGGCTGCCGAGGAGGAGAGTGTGTGGTTGAACCCCAAGTGATGGAGGTGGTGAGCGGTGGCGGATAACCGGAGCGACGGTGAGGGCATTTTGGGGATTTTGCTTCTGTTTTAGAGAGAAAAAGAGCAATGGTCAGTGAGTGGGAGGGATAGAGGGATAAATTTGAGGCCTTTGGATTTGGGCTCGAAATGGTTGCGCCTAAGAGCTTGTGTTGCCAATATTCAAAGATTGCGTTTGGATCCAAGAAAAGAAGACCTCTATTATAGATGATGAGGCCCATAAGGATACTGGATCAACAATGAGAAATTTGAACAAATAATTCATAACTTTGGAGGATTTAAATAAATTTAAAAAAAACCAACCAAGACGACTATAAGATGGGGACAAACTGCAATATAGCTTAAGTAGTTAAGAGCAGTTAATCTTGTATCCGAGATTCTATGTTCGAATTCCTCCGCCAACTCTATGTTTAGAGAAATGGGGTTATCCCATGTAGGAGTAATTCTTAAGTGCAATCGATTGTAGTGTAACAAAGAAAGAAAAAAAATTATGTGTTGAAGCTAGGTGGACTCCATTTCTCTTTAATATTTTTGTAGGCAAAAAGTTGGATATCTATACAGCTAGATTATAGTTTATAGAAAGCATAGGTCTTTCTCTTTCGGCACATATGGGGACCCTTAGGATTAGATAAAGGTATTTAAATTCTTGATTAAGTAAACCAAACCCAGTCATGTGCATGAATAGTCTTTCTTTTCTTCGAAATTAGATGGGTCTGTTGGTGTCAAGGTAGACAAGACCTTCAAGCAAATTAAATTAAGAAATTAATAGCAAGGAATTCATACTTTGGTCCACCCCACCTTTCAACATAATAGTGGCTCCACCATTGTTGTGCATGGGAGATGGATCATCTTTGGAACCCTAGTACTAAATATAAAGCAAACTTTTGTGAAATGGATTCATATTATATGCCCTTATAAGTCAAGTCATAGAGGAAATGGAACTCAATTAATTGAACTATTTTAGCATTTATTGAATTGAACTGTAGTTTTACTTGAAATAATACAGTTTATTAGCTTCAGTTTATTGGCATGTGGGTCTCATAGATAGTATATTGCAATTTAATAGAGGGTATCGCATAGCATCCTTTATTGCAATTGCATCTATTACAATGAACACACCATTGCAAGTGAGATTTTACTGTTTTAGTTCAATTTTATGTAATAAAATCATAAAATTGCAATGGTTATAAGATTGCATTGATCATAACCATTTGCAGATGCTCTAAGTGATGTTATTATAAATAAATAATAAGGAGAGATGTTATTACAGAAAAGAGACTGCATATCCTGAAAATAGTTAGATAGATGTTTCAAAACCTAGTTTCACTAAAAGTCAAACCTACAAAATTGAAAGGGAATGGCTATTGGCTATTGGCTATTGGCTAATCGAGTTTTCCTTGTTCCTAATTCATGGAATTTTTTCATGGATGGGTGTGTAGTGGTTTGAGTTGAGAAGAAGATTAACATAGGGTTAGTGGATTTTGATGGTTTCGATGGTTTTTTAAGTACAAGTGATTGTGTAAACTATAAGGGAAGGGGGGGTTTTCTCACACACACTACTACGGTGCCATGAGGGTTTGAGATTACTATAGTCTGCAAGTCAATGCCCTTTTTCACTGGGCTAGACCTCAGTTGGCAGATTTTGATGGTTAGACGAGTAATTATAGTGTGGTATTGGAGTATGGTCACGTGGTATAACTCGTTCACCTTTTAGAATATAAATGATTTTTTATCAATATTATATTATAAAAATGAGAAATCTTAACTATATCATCCACATTCATATTATAACAACGTGAACGAGTTGAATCAAACATTATAATTAGTTTTTCATTTTCTTTCTTTTTACCCAAATCATTTGATGAGGTCATTTTTACAACAAAGTAAAACCTATTACTAATATTTAGAAAAAAAAATAAGAAACGGTGAAAATAGAAAAACAAATTGAGGCCACCATGAGCTCAACAATGTCATGGACAGCTCACAAAGTTCTTGTCCACTAATAATGATTCTGAGTGACATTGTGATCTCAATGATTTTCTTCATGACCTAAAGATGTTTGGTCAGTGACCTGCAAACCAGTCCACACAAACTTGAATTAGTGGAACAAAATCTACAAGGAACGTCTGGTACATATATATAACCCCCCATGCCTGAAAAGGGTAACAGCTTTTCTTCACTTTTGCTCTATGCCATCAGGACCTCTAGCTGCTCCTCTATCTTTAGAATATAATTTCATTATTTCCGAACATATATTATCATGATGTGGTTGAAACATTATTCATTCCCATTCCAACCCTGCCCTCTAATCCCCATTTCATCATTTCTTATTGGTAGGTAAACATGGATTTGGTGTCTATATATTGTCCCGGATTCAAACCCCACCACAACTTTTAGTGGGCAATATGTCAAGGGAATTATCTCACTACACTATGGACTCGATGCTAACCACTCGTTTAAGCTCACTCGACAATGTGTTATATATGATCCTCTAATTGTTTATTTATTAAATCCTCAGTGAAAAATCATCATTATAAAAGTTTAATCAAATTTAACATGTTATATTATTAGACTGTTAATTATAATTGCACAGTTAAGCACAATTTTATGGTCATATATTTGCAATTTAATTATGTTTTTGTATTGTTAAATTAGAAAAAATAGATGTATTCAACAGATCTGGATTCTCAGTTGACCAAAGTTCCAATTAGTGTTTGTTTCTTTGGATAATCTCTTCACACATATCTATGTCCTCATAACATTGCAAACAGCACCACCAGGTGTGTGGCTGCATTCTCCAAAGCAATGGATAAATAAACAAACATATATATATTCTCCTACGAAATCATTAGCTTTCTAATTTATATAAGATTCAGAGTTCTTTAATCAATTAGAATACAGAGTCCAGATCACCTATCATTAGTTTTTTAAAGTTAAATCTTAAACTTGAAACTTTAGTATGCTTAATCCTAAACCTTAAAATGTCGTAATTATTGGCCTAAGTGAAATATGAATTTTTTTTTAATTTTGAAATATTCGGTCCGAACACATGAAAAAACTACACTTGTTAAATCATCATATTGAATGATACATTTGACACTCAATGTACTATGATGACCAAACAAAAATATGTATCGTAACCGAACCATTGGACATGATATTGATACCTGTCTCCGGTTCAACGTTGTGGTTGCTTTCTATTTAAGAAATATGATTAGACAAAGGTCTTGATCAAATAAAAATTCCACGTAGTCTTCAGTTGGCAAGGCAAATAAACTAACATTATTATCATGGGGCCATGGGCACAACATGACATCCACATCTTATTTTAGATTTGACTAAACCCTAACTAAATCACAAGATTGCGTCCATGAACGTACCACTTTCTTGGATATAGTTGTAGCTAGCGTGCAACCTAAAGCCAATTTCATACGTGAAAGAAAATAATTATATGCAAGTTCCAATGAGCAAGGCGAGTCGAAAAAGCAAAAATTAATTAATTAATTAATTTGTCCAAAAAAAAATCGTAGAAGATGCTCTTCATTGAGTTTAGCTTAGTTTAAAATCATGGTGGTGTGATCCAATTATCCTTAATTAATTAAGCTTTTTACCAAGTCTAATTAGGTCAAAGTGGAAGTTGATCGGAGTATTTAACTATTTATGCTTTATTTTTATTTATTTAATTTTACGCGGGTGGGGATTTCTTTGACTTTATCAGAATAATAATATTGCAACTTTTTTTTTCTCTTTTGGAAAGTTGGTCACTTCTTTATAAAAAGAGATGCTAAAAGTTGGTCACTTTTGTTCTACTTAATTTCCTTTGTAGATTTACGAACAGGCCACGTGTTACCAAATTGCGTGTGTGCAGGGCAACTCAATAACACGCAACAAATGACTGGTGATATTTTATTTTAATAAATAAATAATTATATAAAAAAAAGGTAACAACCTTTGTCCTCTAGAAATTTTAATTTATAATTATTCCACCGTCACGTGATGTTATTTTGGTTTTAGTAACTTGGTTATAACTCCAATGGTAATTAAACACCAAATCATACTTCATCTGCTCATGACATTGTTATAGAATGATCACTCCACCTTGAGTGCATAATCATGCATACGCATTTATACTTTTTGTGTCATTGCAACCCTAAACGTTTCAAGATACACCAATGAACTTGTGTTGATTGACTCTCTAATGCTATTATTTAGAGGTTCAGTGGCTGACTCAACCCCCACTTTGCTTAGATATTGTTCATAACTTAACCATTGTGTGTACATGGAGTGTTGAATTGTTGAGTTTTTATTTCAATAAGTTTTTTGGTGCAACGTATAAAGAACAAGTTACTTAATACTTTCAACAAAGATTAAAATACGACATGAGACTTTGACCTTTTATGATCCGCGTTCTTTAACAATTTCTTAATGTCCTCCTTTATTTTTCAGATGAATCTGACCATCGTTGTATTATTTGAACATGATTATACAACCCAAATGGCTTATACCTCAAATAATTGAGAGTATTCCATCTAACTTAATCTTCTTTTTAATTTCTTATAATTTAATATCGCTTATATTAAATAAATAAAAAATCGTGAAGTCATGATGCAAGTGTGTCTGGTATAGAATCTTCATACTATTTGGATTATTATCGCAAAAAAAAAAAAAAACAAAAAAAAAATTAATGCCACATACTTTGATTATCCAATGTTCTTCCCCAATAGATTAATTAATTAGTTTCGACCAGTTTTTTATTATAAATTAATTAGTAATATTAGCCCCTTCCTCCACCTTGGTGATATGCGCTGGTCAAAGTTGGTGAGGTTCTTGCGGGCTAGCTCGGCATGGCATCTGCACTAGCTCTTGTCCGTTACCCAATTTCTTGATTATCCAATGTTCTTCCCCAATAGATTAATTAATTAGTTTCGACCAGTTTTTTATTATAAATTAATTAGTAATATTAGCCCCTTCCTCCACCTTGGTGATATGCGCTGGTCAAAGTTGGTGAGGTTCTTGCGGGCTAGCTCGGCATGGCATCTGCACTAGCTCTTGTCCGTTACCCAATTTCCAGAGTCTCGTCCCATCAGATCAGCAGCCATATGCCTGACTGATTTCATATATATAGGTACAGAAAATCACATATATGCTC